CAACAATTTTCGTCCTAAAACATAAACGGATACCGGGAAACGCGGGGACGTTAAGTGTTCCCCGAAGGGCTTATCGAATTTGTCGCGGCTGAACCGTTTAGGGGCTATATTCCCGAGGATTCTTATCGTTACTTTCCGACTCGTTACCTCTAATTTAGCATTTTAAATGTCGCCTATACGTATGCGTCGCTGATCGTGTCCATGGCACAGCGGGGCTGGTATCAATGACTCAACGTGCCAGGAATTCGCCTTCTCCAGCATCCGGCTGATCTTTCGGAACGCCTGGAAACACGCGACCACCCGACTGGTAGCTGCTCCTTCGAGTCGGGCATTACGATTTCGTCGGACTCGCGGCCTCAGACGAGATCGCTTGACGAGCCTTTTAGAAAAGCGATATCGGAATTCTTAAGAGCAACGGGTATTCGGGGATGATCTTAGGTCAATCAGCTCGTGGGACATGGATGTATATCTTGCTTAAAAAGATGGCGGTCCTCGCGATACCCGGGTTTTATGAGCTGACTTTCTGCGAGCATTAGTAATCTTTGGCTTAACCCCTTTGCACTCCACGAGTTTTTGGCTAAAGAAGAGCAGGAGTTCAAAGATTTTCTGCTATAAAGCTGACTATATTTCTTAGAGCACTAAATAAGAATTCGTATAATAATTAACCCTTTGCACTCGAGACGTGACCTTCAGTCACCATTTCGTAAAATTTGGAAGATCGATATTAACCGTTTGAGTCCCAAGCAGTGCTTGAGGCTTTTGGAAGAACACGGTTGATAATCTCTGAACAGCGCGATAACGCTTGCCTTAATCGAGTGCGAAGAAGTCCAAACAGCGTGATAGCGCTTGTTTAATTTTATGTCGAAAAATCCTAATCGTCGCAATAGCGTTTGTTGGTACTATGTGACGTACGTGCATCAACAAAGTTGAGCGCGATCGCGCTGCTTGGGACTCAAACGGTTAATTAACATATCAAATTTAATGTAATGTAACAGTGTGCAAAGTATCGAAATCAAATAATTCTACAATTCTATTATTATACAATTCTTTATTTACTGCTGAAAAAAATATCGTCAGTTTTTTAGTAGAGAATCTTTGATTTTCTACTCTTCTCTAACCAAAAAATCGTCGAGTGCAAAGGGTTAACACATAGAATTATACCTCGATACCTCGCACACCGTTATATTATCTTAAATTTGACATATCAATGAGTATCGATCTTTGAAATTTTATTAAATGGCGACTGAAGGGTGCCTCTCTAGTGCAAAGGGTTAAGTCTGCTTCGTGTTGCATTTTGGACAACTGTTTAAGTACGTGGACGAAGTATAGAATAGGTTCAGAGAATATCATTTTTGAGGTTAGGATTGAAAATTCTCGTTGAGTTAATCTTGGTAATCAAGGGAGAACTTATGGATTAATAAATTCTATCTTAGGGGGGTTAGAATTATAAATATTAGGAGGTTGTGGCTTTTGGGCAACTGTTTAAATACGTAGACGAAGCAGGGAATAACTTTTTTGAGGTTAGAATTGAAAATTCTTGTTGGGTTAATCTTGGTAATCAAGGGATAACTTATGGATTAATAAATTCTAGCTTAGGGGGGTTAGAATTATAAATATTAGGAGGTTGTGGCTTTTGGACAACTGTTTAAATACGTAGACGAAGTAAGGAATAGCTTTTTTGAGGTTAGGATTGATAATTCTCATTGAGTTAATCTTGATAATCAAGGGAGAACTTATGGATTAATAAATTCTAGCTTAGAAGGAGTAAAATTATGAAGATTAGGAGATTGTAACAAGAATTGAGCAGGAAAATTGTTTTGCTCATTGCAAATGACAAAATTGTCTTCAATTTTGTTAAATCTGAATAAAACTAACTTTGAAATTAATTTTAATTTCAACTTCCAGTACTCACACGCATACACGTTATTTACAATAGATTTATAAATGAACAAAAATTCGTTTTCAAAAAGATGATAAAAGGTTATGTATTATCACCAATTTTCGATGAAATAAAATTAGGATGATTATCAATAAATATTCCTGGGAACATGGACTTTCTTTAAAAATAACCTCGAACAGGTTCTTAAACCTGTAAATTATTGAACGTATTTTTGAAGCGATTAAAAAATTGCGAAAAGAGGTTGCTAAATTAGGAAGGAAATTAAAGGGATGAATTATTTTGTCCATAGTCACTGACGAAACTCGACGACCTGATCCAGGTGCACGAGGCATCCAGCAATTCGACCGGAAGTGGAATCGTAGCCAGCAGCCTGATGCAATTGCTGTGCAGCCTGGTCCCCGAGGAGCCTTTCGAAAAATCGGCATTGCAAACGCGGGTGCAGGATATTGCTGGGTGAGTAGCTGAAACGCATCCCTGTGACCCCCATGTTTTTCGCGTTACGAGACCTTAAAAATTCGACGTCTACGTTCGGCATCGATCGTACTTTACGTGCCCGTGTCATTTCCATTCTCGGGGAAGTGTGCTATTTAAAGTGGCGGTGTGCATTAAGGGGGCAGATGTCATAAATGTTTTTCTTGAATTAGAAACTCTGAGGAAATATATGAAGCGGAAGTAACGCGATGGCGTATTTTATTTTTATGTGACTTTGGAAATTCTGCCCGGCGAGAAAAGCGAGCCACGAAATTCACTTTTTAAAAGTGCTTTTTCGAACGTATCGTGTTAGATCCTTTTTTTCTCCTTTCCTTTTTTCTTTCCTGGGGTGTACTAACGCTTGCCTTTTGAAGTTCTTCGAGTTTATGAACGAGTCATCCTCGAGTGCTTCTCGAGTACCCCGAATATAGTCGTGATCGTAAATTGAATGAGATTTTTCAGGGAAATTTAAATTATTATAGGTAGAAGTGCTAGATGTTTTATGGGATCAATATCTTTCGAATAAATATTTTTAAACATTTTTTGGACACTATATAGATTATTTATACTTATAATAAGTTGATATTGTGTAAATATATAGTTAATTATTTTCTGCTGAATTATTTGATAATTGCAAGTCAAAATTTGGATTATTCTTTATCAATTGATTATCTGAAAAGTTTTGAAAATAATTATGAATTATTATTATTCAATTACTTTTTAGGGAATTGCAGGGAAATGGGTGGCTAAAATGAGTTACTATTTTCTGCTGGATAAAGTAAAATTTGTTTAAATTTATTTGATCAGGAATAACGTTATAATGCTATGAATTTTTATTTAATAGATTTTGGTGTTTAATAGAACGAAATTGGAATACAACGGTATAATAGATACGTATGATTAAAATTTTCTAAATTTTCTTCCATTAGAAATATGACATGCTGCACTCTTGTGGTACCATTATACTAATTACCATTACAGATTCTATCGCGTTCATGAAAACACGAAGCTATACTTTTAATTAAAACACTTTAATGCACTTTATATTAATCTGCTAAAAAGGGCATTCTTTAATTTCGAAATTAACTTTTTTAACTTGAAAGTATTCGAAAGCGTAAAATTAAATACGTTCTTTTTTTTAATAACAAAAATCTTCAACGTGGATATTTTTGTAGGGTATTAGCGTTTTTGCCAGTGTCTGCCTCATTTCCCTTGCATGATAAAATTATTTCTGCTGTTCCATTAAGTATTCATGTAGTAAAAGCTGTGATATTTGAAATCTAATTGCGCGCGTTAGACTTCGAGTGTATACTTAACCTGAACACACAAGTGTTATAATGAAATGCAAATATCGTTTATTCAATAATAGTGCAAAATGCTAAAAATACCACGAATATACTACGGCAATAATCAAAACATAGTTGCAATTATTCTTCAATTATTTTTTACAAACGAAACATAATTGCCATTCATTGTATTTGAATTATTTTTATTTTTTAAGTCGAATGGTATAATACTTCCCAAGATTTTGTTTTAAAATGGAATTATTATTGAAATATTCGTGCAAAAATGAAGAAAAGAAAACATTTATATCAGCACACGATGATTAGAGTCTTAAATATTTTCATTTCTTTTTATTTTTAATTTTATTTTTCTATAAATGTATCATAAAAATGAAAATGATCGATATTAGCTTTCTAGAATTGATGCAATCTACATAAACATTATCCTGGTCCAATTATTAATTATTTAATGATACGATGATTAAGTACACCTAAAACACAAACAATAATATTATTATAGTATCGTTTATTTCCTTGCTATTAAGTACAATATTTACACTATTATCAATTCACATTTTATGAATATTAGTATTCACGTTTTATAAACATTATTATACCCTGTATTAAATAATTTATATTTAATTATCCAAAAATAATATTTGAATTATCACATCATACCTACATCAATCAAATTTATTACTGTATTTAAATAAAACAAAAAATTCATAATATTTATCAAACAAAAATCAGAAATCATCAAATTTTATATTACAGTAATCATTAATCAATGAATTTAAAAATACCATTCGATAATAATAAATATATAATATGCGTAATAATAAAATAATAAAATAATAATAACCCAATAATATAATAATATAATAATAAAATAGTATAATAATATTAGACTATAATAATAAAATAATATAATAATACTAGGCTATAATAATAAAATAATATAATAATACTAGGCTATAATAATAAAATAATAAAATATCTTATTATTATCTTATTATTTCGACAATAATATTTTAGCAACAATATATTACATAGATCATAGCCAATGTAACAAAGGGTAGAAAGAATCGTCATACATACCACTTCATTTTCGCTGTCCATTTAAATTCCTACGTCAAAATTTTTGCTCCCAGTCTCTCCTATTTATGCGTTGCGCAAACAACGGGACGCACGACTTCTTTGAGGCGGACAACGAGGAAAAGACTTTAACACTTTGACACGCATGGACCACCCCTGTGGAAAAACACGACGGTCCTGTCGCGAGCTGAATTTAATACGCGAGTCACGGGGCAAAGTGACAAGGTGCAAGCTGTTTTCGTTGCATCCTCTGAGATTTGATCTTCAGCAGAAGACGCGTTGCACCTGGGTCAACTTCCTCCTTCGGGACCCCCCAATTGGTCGTTTAATCCTTCCCAGTTTACGCGGTATTATTTCCTTTTTCTCCTCTTATTAGTCGAATATATTGAAGTATACACAGATGCCAGGTTGCTTTCCTTAAAACAGAAATTTCGATTTTTAATTTCATCTTTCTGATACAAAAATGCATATAATAAATATTGTATTTTTATATATGATTATTATATATTAACATTTTACTAGACTATATATATATAATTTAATAATAGTTTAATTAATTTCCTCGAGCAATTACAAACATTTCGGTTCCATGTTTATTTCCATAATTATTATAGAGTCCCCATAGTGATTAATACAGGTCGATGTAAGTAAATATAGGAACGTGTCTGAAATGAATCAGTACATGCAGTACTGTGCAAATGAAAAACTATATTAGCACCATTCGTTAATCTCTTTTCATAAATTATTTTATATTCTCAGTAAAGTATTTCTATATTTTTGTTATTTTATTATTGCTCTGTCAGCAAGTTCTCAGATCTTCCACTAGAACCAAAGATAATACTATAACGAATGGTAATTCACGGTTAGAATTCACTGACGAATATTCGAATATTTCATATTTTTGACTTTTAATCCCAATCATCGATTTAACCCTTTCGCGACGGGCGTCGTATATATACGACAGTCATTTATTGGATTACAGCGACATTTTATAATTATATTATTATTTTATTTCAACAACGAACTCTAAATAAAGCTAGTACAGGCATATTAGGTCACGCAGAAAATGGTGGCAAAGTATAGTATTCAGTTGCGCCCTCGCAAAGGGCACGACAGTTGCCAAAAATCTTGCCCAAAGTCGCGACGTCATGAAAAATGGCGAAGTATGGTACAAATGCGTCGTCGCGAAAGGGTTAATTTCCGAAAAATTTTTAAGTTTTGGAGAAAATAACATTCGAGGGTGCAAGGTTTGTTTATCGGAAATTCACGAGGAATGGTGGGTGTATTTTGTACGGAGTATTTTATCCGGTGAATCTGCAAATTTCTAGTTTACTAACTCGTAACGTCCAACTTTGAATAATGAACGAACGAAAGCGTGATCGGAGTGATTGCTAGCCGGTCGCCGGTAGTCGAATTATTATGATTAATTTCCTGCCGATGCGAGAATGGCCTAGTCACGATTTTTACTCACCGTCCAAGATTGCTTTTCGCTCGTACCTTTAAAGTGCGCAGATGTCTAAGGACGATCGATCATTTCGTACCTCGTAATACGTATTTGAGAATCGTTAAGTGCATTCGCCGTCGTTCGCTCCCGTGAAAAAATAAACGCATGCCTCCTTTGTCCATCATGATCGAGATTTCGAACAATCATTTGCGTTCTTTGATAAATTCTAGTCATATCTATAAATAGTAATTCATAGTTACCCGTTGTTTCGTTAAACAAATATTTTATAATTTTATATTTAATGAGATGCGATATTTATTTTTGTAGTATTTTATAGGTTATGTATAGTTCTAACCTATAAATGTTAATTTAATTGTACCTTGCTAGTTCATAGAACAAGTATTTTAAGGTATATTTAATGATTACTCGATAAATTTATCATTTTTTAATATATATAGTTTGTTACTTATACAGATATATTGTAATATATTATATAGGTGATAATTTTGGATCAAATTACTTGAGAGAAGCGAAGAATATTTTCTTATTATTCAGTATTCAATATTTACATAAAATACTTTCCATATTAAATAATAAATGAATTATTCGATAAATTCATTATTTTCTCATTTTTGTAGTATATTGTATATGTTATTTTGTAGTATATTATTAGTATAGTATATAGAGTTCTAACCTATAAATGGTAATTTTGGATAGAGCTATTGTGTGACAGAAACGAATAATTTTCTTTGTCATTTACTATTTAACAATTATTTTTACAATATTTTCTATTTTATTATATTTTGTGGAATTTATAAGCTCGTTCCCCATTCAGGAACCTGTTACATATGAGAATAATAATTTTCTAATACTATTATCGAAAGTAACAATATTCCTCTGAGAGGAATAATTTTCTTGCCCAAATTTAATTTAAATACCGAGTAAATAACCTAGGCGGTCAATTTATCTTCAAAAGATCAATTAATAAGTACCCAAAAGAGTCGAGTGAACACTCCAAAAATGAACCACCGAAGAAAATACACATATGCTATTATTACTATTAAATTGCATAAAAATCCCGAATATTTTCCGAATAAATTATAAATAAAAATATTCTTCGTTTTGCATACAAAAATTCGATCCTCTACACCAAACATCAG